GCCCTATAGTGAGAATCACAGCCTGGGGCCCCACCACCTGCCCCTCCAAAGTCCATCTGGCTTAAGACAGAATGGGTAGGCCAGGTGCAGGGGCTCACGCATGTAATCCCAGTACTTTGAGAGGCCAAGGTAGGCGGATCACCTGAGGTCAGGAGTTCAAGACCAGCCTGGCCAACATAGTAAAACCCTGTCTCTACTAAAAATACAAAAATTAGCTGGGCATGGTGGCACATGCCTGTAATCCCAGCTACTCAGGAGGCTGAGGCAGGAGAATTGCTTGAACCTGGGAGGCAGAGGTTGCAGTGAGCCAAGATGACGCCACTGCACTCCAGCCTGGGGGATAGAGCCAGACTCTGCCTCAAAAAAAAAAGAAAGAAAGACAGACTGGGTCTACATCTACGGGTTTTCCAGGATCCTGAAAAGGGGAGGAGAGAGAGAAGAGTATTTCTAATTTTTCACAGGGTTGGGGCTGCCCTTTCTATAGCATAGAAACTTGGGATTGCCTGAATGACCTGTAATTTCACCTCTTCTAACCTATCTTTTTTCCAATTTTATAGTCCATCTCATTCTCAAAACTCATTTGAGACTTTGGGAGGTTGAGGCAAGAGGATTACTTGAGCTCAGGGGTTTTAGATCATTTTGGTCAACATGGTAAAACCCCATCACTATTTTTTATTTAAAATATTTTTAAAAGCTTATTTAAAAAAAAATCATTCGAGGTGACCACCATTGTTTCCTCAGGCCTACATCTACATATATTAGGAGCATTTAGCCCAATGCTTGCTATACAGCAGGTATAGAATAAATGAAAGCTGTTCTCACCAGGAGATCCAGAGAATGGCAAAGTTCTAAGAAAACTTTCAGAAAAAAAAGAAGGCAAGAGAAGAACTAAGAGTTTCTGGGAACTACCTTTTGTTTGAGACAGAGTCTCACTTTGTTGCCTAGGCTGGAGTGCAGTGGTGCAATCTTGGCTCACTGCAACCTCTGCCTTCCAGGTTCAAGTGATTCTCCTGACTCAGTTTTCTGAGTAGCTGGGATTACAGGCACCTGCCACCACGTCTGGCTAATTTTTTGTGTTTTTAGTAGACACGGGTTTTGCCATGTTGGCCAGGCTGCTCTCCAATTCCTGACCTCCAGTGATCCGCCTGTCTTGGCATCCCAAAGTGCTGGGATGACAGGGGGCCATCGTGCCCTGGGTTTCTGGGAACTCATCTGATAGGGAATCTAGAACTCAAGCCTGGCTTGGGCAATGGAGAACTCTGAAATTTCTTGAATGTTTGCATTCTTCCGCACAGTCTTACTTCACTTAGATTTGCAGTTCAATCTTGAAAATATAAAAGGCCCAAATAGGCCGGGCGCGGTGGCTCAAGCCTGTAATCCCAGCACTTTGGGAGGCCGAGGCGGGTGGATCACGAGGTCAAGAGATCGAGACCATCCTGGTCAACATGGTGAAATCCCGTCTCTACTAAAAATACAAAAAATTAGCTGGGCATGGTGGCGTGTGCCTGTAATCCCAGCTACTCAGGAGGCTGAGGCAGGAGAATTGCTTGAACCCAGGAGGCGGAGGTTGCGGTGAGCCGAGATTGTGCCATTGCACTCCAGCCTGGGTAACAAGAGCAAAACTCCGCCTGAAAAAAAAAAAAAAAGGCCCAAATATTATTTAGGGGATCCCATTTTGGAAGAAAGGGAAAGAAACTAAAGGACAGGGAAAAATGGCTTAGGAGAGAACAGCTGCAATATTTAGGGGCCAACAGGAGTGAACACAGGGATGGATGTGAGAACAGGAGAAACCTGGAGGCCTCCTTTTGAGGAGTTCGCAGCCTTCAGACCTCAGCAGGCTGTTCCTCGCCCCCTCCCTCCTGCTTGTAGAGGTTTGGCCCACAGTGCACTCATCACAAACCACTCCAGTTCTGAGAATGCTCTGCTCAGACTCTAGGTAGTCCCATGACCCCTACCTCGTGTAACCTGACCCAGGCACCCAGTTACCAGGATGTATAAAGGACACCTGATTCTTTCCGTGACAGTGTGGTTACCCTAAACCTCGTAAGACATGACTACAAAGAGAATCCCAGTCTCTGGCTTCAGTCCATATGAGAACAAGTAAAGCCGCCCGAATCTGGGTCAGAAAGGAAAGTCGCCCTTCTGGAGCACGTGGAGAATTACTGCTTGTCTGACAATCTGTATCCACAGGGCAGTAGTTCTCAAGCCTGGCTTGGGCAGCACAGTCACCTGGAGAGCTTTAAAAAAAAAACAGATGCTACAGGCCATCCCAGACCTACTAAGTACCTCAGGAGTGGGGCCTAGGAATATGTACAGTAGTTTCTAAAAGGACTATATAGGCCAAGCTAGATGTGGCGGTACACACCTGCAATCCCAGCTACTCAGAAGGCTGAGGCAGGAGGATCCCTTGAGCACAGGAGCTCAAGACCAGCCTGGGCAACATGGCATGATCTCATCTCTAAATAAATAAATAAATAAAAGCTGTCTGATAGTCCATCTTGGCAAATTAAAAAAAATAAATAAATAAAAGTACTACACATAGTATGCTGTGAAGCCAGAGTTGAATATAATGCTTTGTGAAAGTATCTTTTTTTTTTTGAGAGGAAGTCTTGTTCTGTCATCCAGGCTGGAATTCAATGGCATGATCTCGGCTCATTGCAACCTCTGCCTTCCGGTTCAAGCAATTCTCCTGTCTCAGCCTCCTGAGTAGCTGGGACTATAGGTGTGTACCACCATGCCCAGTTAATTTTTGTATTTTTAATAGAGACAGGGTTTCGCCATGATTTGCCCACATAGGCCTCCCATAGTGCTGGGATTACAGGTGTGAGCCACCACGTCCGACTGGAAGTATCTTGTTTTGCGCTAGAGGGAAATTACTCAAGTTCCACAGAAGGAAATAATAGAAGCTGTCTTTTTTTTTTTTTTTTCCTAAGTGGCACCTGCAAACAGACCAGGCTGTTCCAGCTTTCTCTGGCTCTCCAAGAGGAGGGAATCAATTAGGAGGCAACTGCGTTCAGCTGCGGAACTTTCCCAGCCCTCCCTCATCATCACAGTAGAACTTAGTAAAAGGTGCACTTTTTCCTGACATTTAGATTTACATTGAACTAACATTTTAGGAGCACCTGTTTTGTGGCAGGTGCTGCAGCAAACGCAAACTACAAGACCATGGGAGAGGCACTACATGGTTCTCACGTGGGCTACCTTCCTGGTAATGGAGGAGTGTTCATCAGAGCTGTACCAGTTCCTTACAATACAGTCCTCAGTGAGATTCTTCCCTGACACAATGCTTTATTACCTACAATCAACACAATTTGGAGTTTACTGACTGATGTGTCTTCTCGACATTCTTTTCAATTTCTGTAATGCTGGATGTGGCTGGGCTGATTTCATGACCTTGAATTTATCTGAGGCTTATCCTCAACACCTGTCAAAACATCTAGCCTGAATTTCGTTTTTTTTTGAGACAGAGTCTTGCTCTGTAGCCCAGGCTAGAGTGCAGTGGCATGATCTTGGCTCACTGCAACCTCCGTGTTCCGGATTCAAGTGATTCTCCTGCCTCAGCCTCCTGAGTAGCTGGAATTACAGGCGCCCACTACCAGGCTGGCTAATTATTTTTGTATTTTTAGTAGAGACATGGTTTCACAACATTGGCCAGGCTGGTCTAGAAGAACTCGTGACCTCAGGTTATCCACTCGCCTCGGCCTCCCAAAGTGCTGGGATTATAGGCGTGAGCCACTGTGCCCAGCCGTAGACTGAATTTTAACCATTAAAGTAATACCACATTTGCTTATCCTTTGGAAAATAATCAAACTAGTTGCTGGGAATAACAGAGTTAAAAAGAAGGTACTGTAGGAGAGTCTGCAGGTGTTTTTTGGTGGAGAGCAGTACACCGATCTTAGCTGATTGCCACTATGAACTTTGTCTGTACTGTCTCCATTTTTAAAGACGATGAAGGCTCAGAGAACCTCAGTAACTTGCCAAATGCAAAGCCCTAGCCCTAGGACAGTTAGGGCAAGGATTTGACCCCAAATATTTTGATTCCCAGACCTGTGCTTTTTTTTTTGCCTTAGCTCCACTTTAGTGGCCCTGAGGCCCTACTGAATGGCTATTTATGTGCAAATTTATAATGGTTGGCAACTAACATACTGTTTTTATCAACCACAGGCAAAAAGCATTGAATTAAGATCAAACAGAATTTTAGGAGGAGGACAAAGTCATAAAAGTAACAAGAGATTGAGTGACTTCTCTAAGACCAAACAGCTACTAAGAGGTTGCGCCTGTATTTGACCAAATATAGACACTTGGGGTCTATATGGCACTAAAGCAGCTCTTTTTAACTAAGCCAAGATGCATGCATATACAGTGCAATGGAGAGGAACTCACATCAGATTGGAATCAGAAGCCATGGATTCCAGTCCCTGTTCCAATCACTTATTAGCGATCTCACTCTGGGCAAGTCCCTTGCCCTCTGGAAACAATGATCTATGACCTACTCTTTACTGACAAGTGAAGATCCAAATGAATGCAAAAGTATTCTGAAAAATTCCTTAAAAAAAATAAGAGTAAGAGCTCAGGCAGGTCAGTCAGTCAGACACAGGTTTAAATTCTGACTGTCTCTTACTGGCTGTGTGACCTTGGACGAGTGATTTTACCTCCTATGTCTGTTTTCTCATCTGCAAAACGGGGATAAATCAGGTAACTACCTTAAAACATTGTTGTGACAATTAAATGACAGCATCCATTTAAACATGGGATTGCCTGACACAATAATCGATCAATAAACATCAGTCATTAATATCCTGATAATTGTGCCTCTCTGTCTTCAACTACCTGCAAGTACGGTCTTTCTGAGCTACCCAAAGCACCCTGAGCTTCAGTTTCGGTCTTGTTAGTCTCTGCCCCCTTCCTCGGACCCTGTCCCTCTCTTCCCAGTCCACATCTCGTCTTAAAGCCCTCTAGAAACCCCAGTCCCCTTCCCCGGTTTCGGCGCCGTCTCTTACTCGACGACCTTGGCTGGATCCCCGTGGTGCCCATAGACAAGCGCCGGGACCCGGGCAGGCTCGGCGGATGCGGAGTAGTTGGAGGCGGCAGGTCCGTGACAGCCAGAAGCAGGGATCAGCCTCCGCCACAGCCGGGCGGGGGTTCGCACCCGCCACAGCGTGCTGCAGACCCACATGCTCCCTTCAACCAACACAGACCATGACGCCCCAGGCTACGTCATCTTCCAGCGACCACGCGCCTGCGCCACGCCCCGCCGCGTGACCACTCCCCCACGCTCCCTTTGAAGGGCGTTTCCTTCCTCCGCTGCCCACGTGGTGGCGCCTGGCTAAACTGTGGGTCCCGGAGGGACCCGAGGGAGGTGCCGAGGCCGCCAAAGCGGCTCTCTCAACAGGAAGAGGCTGGGGCTGGTCCAAAGCTGTGTCTACAGCCTGCAATTTGGTGTTTGATTGGGAGGAGATCATTTACTCTCCCTGGCCTTAGTTTACCCTTCACATAATTTATTGAGTGCTCACGGAGACAGGCTCTTTAAGGTATTATCTCACTTAATCTCCACTACCATGTAACGGCATAGGGAGGCAAAGCTTACTTCCCTACGCTGAGGAGAGCACACGAAAATTGCTATAGAGGCAGGAGTACGGGGCTTGGAGTTAGAAAACTTAGATGCAAATTCTAGCCCTGCCACTTCCTAGCTTGGCCGCCTTGGGCAAGTGAAACTCTGAATTTGTTTTCTCATCGGTAAATGGGGATAATATGCCTCCTAGATTGTTGTGAGGATTGGATGAAATAATAGAGGAATGTTATTGTGGGCGGGAGAATGCATTGAAAAAAATGCCGGGTTCAGATATAAGGCAGGAATCACGAGAAGGGCCCCCCAAAATGCTCACAGTGTAGAAAGGGATTAAGTAAATCACTGGAAATGCGTGTAAAAAGGTGTAGCCCCATGAAGGATCTGGTCTTATTTTTGATGTGGGGAAGACATGAACGTTACTAAAACCCCAGATGAGCTGTGGCTCGTGCCAGTGTGCAATCCTGTAGACTGAAGAGAGGTGCTCTGGGATAGGGGTGGGAGCAGGGCTCTTGGAGGAGGTGCTATTGGAGCCAGCCCTGTGTTTCAAAGTCTTCTGTGTGCATAAAAATAATCCGAGGTCCCATCTTAGACCTACTGAATGAGAATCTTGCCGATGGGGGTTCCAGGAATCTACATCCTTACAAGCTCCCAAGAATATTCTGATGCAGGTGTCCCAGGAAACAGGTTTTAAGATACTGAGCCAGGGCTTTGAAGGACAAGGAAGAGTTCCTTTTTCTGGATTTTATTGAGTTGAAGCTTGCCATTTCAGAGCCTTTCCTCTGAGGAAGAGAGCATAGCAAAGTGAGCTTTGACTTAGGCTAGACTCGAGCAAACCTGGGTTTGTGTCCTACCTCTTGTTCCAGCCATTTGATTTCGGACAAGTCACCAGGCCTCTCTGTGTCTTCATTTCTTATTCATAAAATGGAAGGAATGCCAGTTATGTGTTTCAAGATTGTTGAAAGGGCCAAGTGAGATATCTACTTGAAGCATTTTGTACAATGCTTGGCACATGGAAGCATTTGATAAATATTATCAGGGGGTTATTGTGATTAAATGAGAAATATCACATGTAAAACCCTCAGACTGGGGTCTGGCTCATAGTATGTGCTCAATAAATGTTTGTACTTGTTTTTATTATTAGATAAAGTTGGTGTCCCATGGTGGGGGAAAGGTTTGGCCCCACGTTTATGTACGAGCACACACATGATGACCAGTCCTGCTTACACTTTTCCCCAGCGACACATTGGCCTACTTGAGCTGGGAAGTACAACATAACCCTCTGTTGTAAGACTCCCTAGGTGACATTGAGAGGTCGACATTCTCTTCTTCACCAAATTGGCCCCTCTGAATTTTTGGGAAGCCCATTCAGGAAGCCAGAAATGCTCTTCCCTGCCTCGGAAACTCCAGGCTCAGATGTCACTTCTTTGATGTTTCACAACTCCCTAGGTCATCTGCTGCTACCTTTGTATATTCCCTGGACCTGTGTTATGGCCTTTAGTACATTGTCTCTTATTTATTCCCCCTCCAGGCAAGAGTGGAGCCATGTTTGATTTATCTCCATGACAGCAGCACCCAATATGGGCCTGGCACAGTGTAGGTGTCATAAATATTCCATGAGTTGCAGATAATTGAATTTCCTCATGGCCTGGAACTGTCTGTGGTGCCATCTCCTTTTCCCTAGATTTGGGCAGGTCACTCCAGGCCAGGATTTTCCTTCTTCCTTCTTCTCTCAAGGATTATCGCAGTTTGTGGTCTTTTTAAGTAAAGCAGAATGTCCTCTTCTCATCTGTCCACCTGTTGCTTGTGTTCTCTTTCTCCCTCCATTCTAGTCTCTGCCGTCTTCCCATGCATGAAGAGCAAAGGAATGTGGAATCAGTCAGATCTGGGTTCAAGTCTGGGGTCCACCCTCCCTTTACTAGCTGTGTGATCTTAGGCAAGTGTCCTATGCTCTCTGAACCTCAGTTTCCACACCTGTAAAATGAGATCAATGGTAAAACTTCTGTTATAAGGCTCCTGCAAGAGCCCTCTGCAAACAGCACTCTTGGTTGCTTCTTCTGTTCACTGGTTTTCTCTCCTTGAGTTTCCTTTTCTGGGTAGGCCTCGCTGGCTCCTCTCTGCTCCAGCGTCTATCTTAGTTTCTTCTCTAAGGCTTCCCGTTGGTTTATTCTTGCTTCTGCCTCCCTCTCCCTGTTTAATTCTCTGTGTCTAATTCTTGTCTGCTCTGTGTCTTTTGGTCCCTTTCCCAACTCAGCGTGGAGCTCATCAGCGCTCACAAGAGAGGAGACTATGAGCCCAGGAACTCTAAGCTCAGCTCTACCTCCTCCAGCCCCAGGGCAGCTTCAAGGTGTTCCAGTCTCAGCATGAAGCCAGCTGGGAGTGGAGGCAGGGCACAGGGAGGGCCTACATACTCCTTGAACTCCTACGCTCTGTTCAGTGTCACTGCCCAGTGGTCAGACCCATCTGCCCACGGCTTTCCCTACTTCAGCAGTTTATTCTCTATGCAACTGGTTGGGGCTATTAAAAAAACCCCAGAGATCAAAACTTATTACTTCTTTTTTTTTTTTTTGAGATGGAGTCTCACTCTGTTGCCCAGGCTAGAGCACAGTGGCACGATCTTGGCTCACTGCAATCTCTACCTCTGAGGTTCAAGAGATTCCCTTGCCTCAGCCTCCTGAGTAGCTGGGATTACAGGCACGTGCCACCATGCCCAGCTAATTTTTGTATTTTTAGTAGAGATGGGGTTTCACCATGTTGGTCAGGCTGGCCTCAAACTCCTGACTTTGTGATCCACCCGCCGTGGCCTCCCAAAGTGCTGGGATTACAGGCATGAGCCACCGCACCTGGCCCAGAACTTATGACTCCTTATTACTCCTTTGCTCAATGACTCTACTTCAGTGGGCTCACATTACTCTCAGAGTTGAATCTCAGGCCCCTTCCTTGCTCATAGTTTCTGGCCTGATCTACAGACCATGCCAACTTGTCCAGCTGTATCTGGCTCCCTTCTGCCCCTGACTCACTCCATGCCAGCTGCCCTGGCTTCCTTGCAGCTGCTTGTACCCACCAGCCCCTGCCTTTGCACAGGCTGTCCCCTCTGACTGCCCTGTTCCTCCCCACTGATTTGCATGAGGTTGGCTTCTTTTCATACTTCTGGTTTCAGTTCAGATGTCACCATGTCACTTCTTCAGCAAAGCCCTCTTGGACCACCTGATCTAAAGGAGATGCCCCTTCCCGAGCTTCTTTATCATTATGCTCCCTCGTTTCCTTTAGCGTGCATATCTTAGACAGTAATGGTATATTTATGTACATGTTTGCTGTTGAGCTTTCCCGCTAGAATGTAAGCTTCATGAAGGCTAGGAACATTTCCCTTTCATTCATTCATCCATTCAATATTTATTGAGCATGAATTACATGCTAGAGACTGGGTGGGGTGGCTCATGCCTGTAATCCCAGCACTTTGGGAGGCCAAGGCAGGTGGATCACCTGAGGTCAGGAGTTCGAGACTAGCCTGACCAACATGGTGAAACCCCATCTCTACTAAAAATACAAAGATTGGTCTGGCGTGGTGGTGTGTGCCTGTAGTCCCAGCTACTCAGGAGGCTGAGGCAGGAGAATTGCTTGAACCCAGAGGTGGAGGTAGTTAACCAAGATTGTGCCACTACACTCCAGCCTGGTGAAAGAGCAAGACTCAATATCAAAAAAAAAAAAAAAAAAAAAGAAAAGAAAAAAGTAAGCTTCGTGAAGGCTAGGATCATTTATTTCTCTTTCATTCTTTTGTCCATTCAATATTTATTGAGCATCAGTTACTTACCAGCAGCTGGACGAGGTGGCTCACACCTATAATTCCAGCACTTTGGGAGGCCGAGGAGGGCAGATCACCCGAGGTCAGGAGTTTGAGACCAGTCTGGCCAACATGGTGAAAATACTAAAAAGACAAAAATTAGCCAGGCGTGGTGGAGGGTGCCTGTAATCCCAGCTACTTGGGAGGCTGAGGCAGGAGAATTGTTTGAATTTGGGAGGCAGAGTTTGCAGTCAGCCAACACCATGCCATGGCACTCCAGCCTGGGCAACAAGAGTGAGTTGTTGAATAAATGAATAGATCCCAATAAATATTTGTTGAAGGAATAGGTGTCCGGATGGGAGGCAGGTCTCAGCCCCTATTCAGTTCAAACCAAACAACCTTGTTTCAGATCTTGGTGCTGTTAAATACTGTTGCATAACAGTATTTATGCAATATAATTGTTGCAGATCTAATATGTGATGATTAAATAAGTTCATGTGGGTAAAACACACAGAAGGTACCTGGTCTTACATAGTAATGAGCAACGAGTTTGCAGATCATAGTAAAAGGGATTGTTCTGGGTAGAGACCCAAATATATTTAACCTGTGTAGCCAGAGGTTAGAGTAGGACCAGGGAGGGTTAGTGAGGGAGGTAGACTTGGACGTCATGAAAACAAAAAACTTTCTAAAAACAGGCGTTTCCAAAGCCCCAGTAACCGCTCTTGGCAGGTGATGAGCACCGTGTTCTTGGAGATGTGTAAAACACGCATTTGAAGGCACCAGGGTAGAACGCAT